TATAAGAAATTAAAACAAGAAAATGACAATGAGCTTAGAATTATACATTCAACCTAAAAATATGAAAATCTGGCACTTTTTAGAGGAATTTTGCACCAATATTCATTAAAAGAAATTGAAAAAAGTCTCTAACTTGTCGACAATTGAACGCAAATCATCTCCAATTCCATTTCCTGTGCCTTTGTTATTTTGATCCCCAAATTCAGGAAAGTCGCAGTTAATTTTGATCCATTGTGGAGAGTCGGCCGGGTGTCTAAGTAAACCGTCTTTTTTTCTCCCATCTTCATGCCATGTCAAATTCTTTGATTCTTCAACAATACTAAATAAGCGTTTAAATCTTGGCACTATTGGAAAATACCACATAACCTTAGCTGGCACATTATTTTCCTTGTATCGTGGAGCCTCACATTCAGGGCAGCTTTTTAAAGAGGCATATCCTTTTCGATATAAAATGCAATCATTAGGGCAGGCATGAATTTTTTTCATACCCCATGCCCATAGAGCACAACATCTTCTTTGCCTCGTAAATATGACCCGGAAGCACATTATCAATAGGAAGCATCTCTTTCACTAATTCAAGTAAGCTCGAAAAACTTGTATCAGTCCATCCACTACGAGCTTTGAGATGGTATAATTTCAGCACAGCAGATAATTTGCTAAATGTAGAACAACCAGGGTACAAAGGGGTCTTTGCACCACTACATAATGTGTCAAACATTTCAGAACTATCTTCAATGTTTTCCTCTAAAATACGCGTCATTTCTTCTAGATGATCATTGCCTAGATGGAAATTATCTTCTATTTCATCATACATCTCAGTATCTACATAAGAAGGTATGTCCCCTAATGTCTCACCGTGTTTTATTCAACACTTGTACTGTTGGATAATTCCATTAACCACCAAATGGATTCTTACATCCTCGACATTGTGTCGGATCATGTTGTTACAATTGACACATGGACACAAAATGCGAGATGGATCTTCAGCATGCTCAATAGCAAATGCAATAAACTCATCTACCCCTTGTTCATATTCGTCACTAGTACGCCTTGCAAGCATCCATTTCCGATCCATTTTTATATTGCTACACCATAAAAGTAAAACTACGATAACTAACAAAAGGATCGGAATAATTAATGATAATTATACTAATTTAGGTTAATATAGTTTGTGTATATATACAAGATAACCTTTTCCATGAAATTTCTTAAAGAATTCAAAAAAAGTCATTAATGGACTTTTTAACCTTATAAAATTAGATAATAGAGTGAGGTACTAATCACAATTAACAACAAATAAACAATAATGAAATCAATTAATTTCATACATATATGTAATATTCAAATTTAATCCGATACTAGTAATTTTTAGCATATCTTAACAATTCCCTCCTTGTGGTCGCCTCTTTAACACACTACTAATTTTTTTAAACTATTTTTTTCCCTCTCACGTCCTTTACTTTTCAATAAATACTAACCCAGCTAAATTTTCTTACAATAATACCCCACTAACCCACTTATAACCTTTTATATTAAAGTCAATTGATTTTCATGAAACTATGTGTTGGTTAGGTTGTAACACTTAAAAATTGTAGGAGTATAGAAGCGCTTTTATATTCTACTATACAATAAAGTATGATTTAATAATTATTAATAATTGAGGTATAGCAAGCTATTCAAGATAGTAGTACATGGAGTAGATTTCAATTAGACTAAAAGAGTTCCAAGTTCAATTCGTGCATTAGCATATTATGTGGCCATACTTTTCACTTGTTTTGCCCTGCTAATTCTAAATGCACTTACCTTTAAGATTATAATGAAAACCAAGTTAGTGTAAGGCATATGTGTTGGTCCTTTTTACAATAACCAAGCCTCTTTTCTTTTCAAGTTTATTTGTATATACTCAATTAATACTACTTTTCTTTATTAAACTATATGGACTAGAAATAATTCAAGTAGGGACACAAAACATTATCCATGATAACTCCTAAATTAGCTGGCAGTTGTAGCAAAGTGACTATAATACAAGTGATTTTTATCAGGTCACTAAAGATACTATGATACAAGAACCATAGATGTTCATTAAAGGTTGGTATTTCCATGAGTTAAATCATTAATAAGTGATTGTGCCTAACACTTAGACGTGTACTTTAAGACTAACTATGCTAGAGAGTATCCAAATGTTCTTCTTTGCTTACATTGACTAAATCGTTTGTTAATTTCACAAGTAATTGTGGACCATGCCTATCTTTAGTGTTTATTAGGAAACTATTTAACAAAAATACTCCTCTACTAAGCAAATAGTGAATTTGATATCTTGATGATTGATTACAACATCTGTGGGTCCGGGTTTCTCTTCCCCTTATTTTACTCAGTTTTTCAGAGCAAGCTAGAAAATTAGAAAGTGTACAAAGTAGAAACTTCATGTTTGTGATGTATCTTGTTATTGTTTTAGTAGTTGTGCAAGTATTTTTGGTGCCCAATTAAATTATTTATTGCAAATGATCATAGATACTTTGGTCCAATCCTACACTTAGTACTCTTTTAGTGAATCCATGGTATAGACATGACTAGATAAATTCATGAAAAAAATTGTACAAGTTAACAGACTCATGATTTTTGACTCAATAATTATGCATGTTGGCTGGTGTATTTTTCTCCATTTATTGCAATTAATTTGATTATTAACCATTTCTACCTACATGCATACTTTCTACTTACATAGTTATGTATGATCCACAGCTGATGATTGTTGAACGACCCAAATGACTAAACTTGTCAATTGAATGACTATGTATTATAATATACAACAGAGACACGCACCCTAAACATCTAAACTAAGATTTTTTTTTTTTTTTTTTTGTAACATCTAAACTAAGATTCTGTTGTATTCACTTATGATTATGTGAAAGTTTGAATTTTTAATCCTACCTAATTTTTTCAGTTACTGCAGCAAATCTACTCTGCTCAAACGGACGGAACCTTGTGTGATTCAGATCCTCTCCATTTTAAGAACAAAATATAACACTAGAACACATGATAGCCTTCTACCTCAATTAAATAGGCAATGGGGGTCATATAAGCCTAATGAAATATCAAACAACCAGAATAAAATGGAACAAAACACAATTTATTAACATGCAAATTAGCAAATTCAGATTAAACCTCAAAAAACCTTAATCAAAATTGCAAATTTCATAACTAAAAGTCCTATAAACAGCATAACCCAAAAACATTGAATATTGACCCATGAAGAACAGCAAATTCAAACTTAAAAAATGCAATTACATAAGAAAAAAATACTCACAATTGATAATTTCAATCAACGAAGCCCGCAAACACCAGTAGAGAGGACAATGAAGTGCTCAATTTGCAGAAATAGAAGAATTGCTCAACTGCCCACAATTTGCCAGAGAAGAGGAATTGCTCAACAATTTATTGGACTGAAGGGAACTCTTAAATTAATTTAGGGAAACTGGGATTTGGATTTGGATTGAAGGGAACTCAATTTGGGGAAATTGGGATTGAGGGCTGTAGTTTCTAGCGGCAAAACAAAAAAAAAAATAAAAAAATTTGTGAAGTGGAGGGAGCAGTGAAGTCGTGGGTAATTGTGAGTAGTAGACTAGTATTCTAATACTAGTAGTTTGGTGGGAAATTAGGCTAAGAAATAGGAATACTTTTTTTTTTTATTATTTATTTATTATATATAACCACTTTAATTGATAGCACTTAATTAACCGCGTTTAGGAATAAACACTATATAAAACTAGGATGAAAACTAAGGTGATTTTAATAGCATCTTTCTAACGGCACTTAAAAATAATGTGCTATCATTTGATAACAATAATAGCATTTTATCATTAGTGCTATTAATTTGGTGCTACTAATTAACCTTTTGTTGTAGTGCGGGTTGTGCTCGTCGTCGCCACTTACTGTATTTTGTGTTTTAGTTTTTTTGCTTAGGTTTGTTTGTTGTGTTTTTTTGTTAGCCCTGTTGTCAAAAAAAAAAAAAAAAAAAAACACGACCTATAAGCCCATGCATGTTGAAGCCAATAAGTGGCAATTTTTTTAAAATGTAGTGTAAATCGTAAATTTAATAACCTCAATAAAGTTTCAAAAGCAAAAGTTTCTAGACTAGTCTAAAACTCACATATACTACTTGTACAAACAATATACATAGTATATATACCATGTTTTTTTTTGTCACCTCGGAATCATGTGTAGTTGTACCAATTGAAAGTGACTTATTGATCATGTACACCTTCTTTATTTTTTTTGAAACAATGTATACCTTCTTTAGTTCTTTATTAGTACTAGTCAAAGGAGTTCAATCTTCGTATAGTGTAAGGAAGCAAAGAAAGAAGGATGCAAAATAATAGTAGACCCTAATCTCTTCATATTAATTCATTGTACTTTAATTCGTAGCAAAAATCTATTGTGATAATTTAGATTAATTTTTTACGGAGTAACGAAGTATTAATTATGTAAAATGATTTAAGCTTTGTGATAGTTTGGAAAAAAATAAATAAAAAATCCTTGAAATGCGTCAAATGACATGAAATTTAAGTTGTTTATAACCATTGATTTAAACTTAAATTTTTTTAGAGAATCATAATTTTACAGAGTACTTATTTTCCTCATCAATACTAAATAATACGGAGTACAAAATCATGAACAAATACAAAGTAGCAACGATTGTAAGTACTCCACATTTCGATAGTAAGATTGATCTATAGATCTGTGATTATTACTCAAAATCGACTACTCCATACTCCATAAGACAGTAAATATTATCGGATGTGATTTGTCAATTCCTTGAGGACTTGATCTCGCACTCCAGAATTGAATCAATTGTCAATCTACCATTACTAAGTAACCTGTAGTTGGAAGTTGGAAACTTGGAATAGAAGGAAAAAAAAAAAAAGAAAAAAAAGAGCAATTAAAACGGACAGATTTTGAAAAGTATTCCAGTCAACACGGAGTTTGACTCCTGATAAATTACGTTAGTTTGTTTTGGAACTCCACTCACAAAACAAAGCCTCCTATTTCGTCATCTCTTTATCAAACTACCTTACCTGCCCATTCAAAAACTTCAAAATTCATTTTCACTCCATTCAAAAAAATCAAAATTTTAGGGTTTTCTCTTTTTCTCGCTCTAAAATTTTCTGTAGATCGAAGAACTCTGAGTCGTAAAAATGGTGTCGCAGGATTATATACAGAAAATGGAGGTTCGGCAGAACTTCCGGAATCTCTGGCACGCTGATCTTCTTCGCACTGTTCAAGCTGATACTCCTTGTAAGATTATTTTTCTTCTTCTTTTTCAATTCATCAATAGTTTTCATTACTTTGGATTTTCACTGTGGAAATCACTGTTTTCTGATTTTATTTTTTTTTTGGAATTTTTTGATTTTGTTGCAGATTGCTGTTTGTCGTTGTTCTGGTAAATTCTTTGATCCGCTAATTTCTCAATTGCTGATTAGTTGAATTTAAGTGTTGTTAGTGTATTTAGTGATTGTTTGACGAGATGTGGATGATTTTGCTTGTTGACTTTGCGGTTTATTCGAGATGATTGATTAGGTTTTCAGTTTTAAGAAGTACTGAAATGTAGGTTTTTAATTGAGTTTTGAATTTTTGATTGTCAATTTTGTGCTTTGTAACTGTAATTGGTCGAAAGTTTCAGCTGGTAATTAGATTTTTTGCGTTTAAAATGAATTTTGATTGGCAGTTTTGTGCTTTGCAACTGAAATTGGTCTTGAGTTTCAGTTGATATGCTCCGTATTAGAACCTTGCATTTTAAATGAATTTTGATTGCCAGATTTGTAATTTGACATAGAATGCTTATGAAATGTTCCACTTGCTTTTTTTTTTTTTTTTTTTTTATTTATTTTTGGATAGTTTTCAGTTGATCATAATTAGGATATCATGTGATTGAATATACTAGTAGCTTGCATCAAGTATGGCTTCAAAATGCCTCGAGTAGTTTATAGACGATGTAATTGTGTAGGGAAGACCGGGAGTTGGAAAAAAAAAACATAATATTTTGCAATCTCAAGTAGACCCTTGATATTTGTAGAACTTGGAAGGAGATGCTTGATTTTTATTTTGTGCTTCATCTGTAACATCAAAATGAGCTGTGCCAGATTAGTGAGGATCTAAAAAAGTAAACAGAATTTTTAGTTATAGTAGTTACTCCCAATAAAAAAGTAATCTCTAGAAGGAATCTCTTAGGCTGAAATTTCTTAAGTAGTTTATCACTTATGTTGTGTGATTTAAAAGAAACAAATCAAACTAACTTTAATCCATTGAATATTGTTGCAATGGAGATTAGTTATCCTTTGTCGGTTCTTTGCTTGAAAATTAAGAGAGGAAAGGAAGAAGGGAGATGAAGAATTAGAAATGGAAGGGTGGAGAAAAGTAAGTCAGGGAAGCACATGTAGCACTCCTTTCTTAAACCAGGAATGCTTTTCCCACCCTTAGAAAAACTATAATAACCCTGGAAAGTTATCTTCATCCACTTACAAACCAAACAAAGGAAAATTGGAAAAATTAGTTTTCCTAAAACGATAATCCTTTTAACCAAATGCAGCATTAAGATAGTGGGAGAAAGGAAAAATTCTAAACGGGAAGCTTCATGTATGGCTAATGATCAATATATATTGTGTCTTTGAATTACTAAATGTCAAAAGAGGTCATATACTGTCAACAATCAAGCTTGCATCAGATATTTTTGAATTTAATATTAAATTAAACTTCTAGAGGTTGAGAGCTTGTTAATTTCTTAGTTAGCACTTAGCAGATGGAGGTTTTCTAATTTGAAGTTTAGGAAATCTATAAATTGATTTAGTTTATGAATGTTATGATGGACTTTAGTTTTTTTTTCGTCGGAGCACATAATGTTATGTCCTTATTATATGCACGCTCAACATGTATTAGTCGAGTCAAAGCTAATCTCTCTTTATCATGTATGTTAAGTTTTTTACAGTAGTATTGCTGATTTATTTTGGTTCTATTTATAGTGCTCCATGTGTGTCATATATGCTGCGTAAACGTGCTCTTTACAATGACATGTCAAGGTGAGTATATATTTTGCAGCTGTTAATTATTTTGTTAAGTGTATATAAAAAATTCCCTTCCCTGAAAAGAAATACTACCTTCGCTCTATGAAGTTCTACGACTTCTACCCATTTGTTGTAAACATGCAGTTTTTTGCAATAAGAGGTTGTTACTTTTGAAGACCATTTGGTTTGTTTACTATGAAGTACTTTATGCAGAGGAGCTAAAGCTGGGGGCTTAATATATTTTAAGGAAAAGGGATTGTATGGGCCAAAGGTCCATAAAATGATTCTTCCTCCGTTTAACTTTTTGATGCATCGCTTAGGATTTCACGGTCTCCTTGGCAATTTATGGTGAAATATTTAATGGATTTAGGGGTTGTTTATTGAGAGGGGTAGTGGGGACCAAAGGGACAATGTTTTAAGAAATCGGAAAGGTTAGTAAAGACAAATGGCTGTTTTCACAAGCAAAAACTTACCCAAGAGGGGAAAAAAGGTGATAAATCTTGATTGAAACTTCCCTTTCATGAAAGTGATGCATCGAGAAACACGGAAGAAGTATATACAGCTGTAATTTGCTAAGAAAGATAAAATGCAGAATGCTAAGTGGATAGAACTTCATGGAACAGAGGTAGTACGTTGAAGTTGATTTTAACACACTTTTCTTTTGCTTGTAGATATGTATGTTGTGCAGGTTATATGCCTTGCAGTGGTCGGTGTGGTGAAAGCAAATGCCCTGAATTTTGTCTTGCAACTGAGGTACAGTGGATGTGCTTAATTTAATAGCTGAACTGTTAACTCTGCATCCCTCACTCCTTTAATTCCTTCCTCTCTGTCTCTGTTCTTTTTAGTTTGGTTAATTCTAGCACAGAGCAAAATGGGTTGGTAGAATGGCAGTGTCTATCTTTTTTTTTTTCCTTTCTCCCTGCTTATGAAACATTTCCCTCCTGTTCAGACAATTATATGTTTCTAAGCTAAGTTTTCTTCAATTTAATCTAACCAAGATGTTGACATAATTAGTGCATAAATTACCTATTGATCTCAATAAAGGCAACATTTAAGAGCAGTTTAGGCCTCATTACCATGCTATTCAGTGTAGAATTACCACTTTAGTTTTATGCACCTACTCTGAAAGAGAAAATTACTAACCAAGAGAGTTGATTTTGTGAAATGATATATATTATGCCTCTTTTCCAATTCCCCATTGTAAAATTGAATATAATTTGGGAGAGCATAGAAATTTGACAGGATGATACAGTAGGCAGATAAAGAGGAAGGTGCTGGTTACCCCTCCCCCCCCCCCCCCTCTCTCCCCTATCCAATTTGTTTGCTACTTTGATGTGACATGGATGAGAAGATAAAAGAAGAATAAGAGGGGTGTGCAGAAGAGGGTTGTGGCTGATCGCAAATGGCGGTGAGAGGCGGCCTTGGGATCAGGGAGCTACAAATTTTTTTATTGATAAAATAAAGCTAGCAAAGTTGAATGGAAATGGTTTTAGGTACTAGTCCCTAGGAATCAAGTATAAGGGGGTTTTACCACTAGCTCATGGTTTTGTTCAAATACTTATGTTTCATGGGTCTTTTTCTTTTAAATATACAACATTACAACCTTCCATTTGCTTTGGAATAATGAACACAATTCTGACCCTACTAACATTTGTGTTTGATGGGTAGTGTCAATTGGAGTATAGGTACTAGTCGCTTCACCTCAACACTTTGTTTGGATAAGAGAAATTGGAGAGAAAGGAAGAGAAGGGAAAGGGAAGTTATGTGGATAAGAGGTTGGGGGAAGGGATCTTCCCTCCTTGAATAAAGACCATCCCTCCAAAATTAAAGCGAATTGGGTGTGGCCAATGAAAATACAAATGTGGTGTCACCTGACCTGGATTTATTCTGTCCATCTGGTCATAGTTGCATCCTCCAAAGTCTTGCTAATTTAAAGGGTTTGGGTTGGGATTTAGAGCAAGAATTGAATTTTGCATTTGGCGTGTGTCGGTGTGTCCTTTGCCACCCTCCTCCCTTTGATCAAAATGTTGTGACAATGATTTTTATGGTAAGAAAAGAAAAATGTGGTGTCACTTGACCAGGTTTTATTCTTGTCCAATTAGTCAGAGGTGCATCCTCCACATTCTTGCTAATTTTGATGGGGTTGTTGCCATCCCCATCCCTTTTCTATGTACTCTTTCTAAAAGCTGTATGGTCACCAATTTGATTTTTTGGCTGTTTCTTTTATGTTCTTTAATCTTTGTTGATAAATGCTTGCTGTCTCCTGCTGTGATGACTGAATTTCAGTTACTTACAAGCTCAACACATCATATGCGGAAGGGAACCTCCCTTTGTCATCCATACCTTATACTCAGTCTTGGTTTGTTTGTTTGATAACCAATTAACCACTGACATTTAACTAATTGGCAACAGCTTCTACGTCTGTCTTCTTGCTTTTATTATGTGGATTAGCTACTTGGTGAAACAGTTGCATTATGGTTCCTTACTATCTCTGCGGCCTTTGATTTACAGGTCTTTCTCTGCTTTGGGAATTCTGTGGCCTCCACACGATTTATGTTACAGGATGAGTTCAACATACAGACAACTCAATGTGATAACTGCATAATTGTATTTCCCTTGCTCTGCTTCTCCAAACTAGTCCTTAATGTTCATTTATCTTTTTTCCCCATTATTAACATGCGTTCTATGGTAGGGTTTTATGGTCTGCCTGAACCAAATTGCATGCATATTTTCCATAGTAGCAATGATTGTGGGAAGTCAAGAAATCCAAGAAGCATCTCAATTGTTGAATTGCCTTTCTGATTTGGTTTACTGCACGTAAGTCTCTTCCTCCTTATTCTTCTTAATCCGACTAGTGAATATCCACCTGATTTGGTTTTTTTTTTTGTGTGCAGTGTCTGTGCGTGTATGCAGGTAAGCAGTCATCAACTTTTATTAAAGTATCATGGACTTACTGGTATGCTTAAGTGACTTCTAAAATATCCATCACATTTTAGTTCGTGGGAATGCAAGTTGTATAAATGGATATGGTCAACAACGCATACCTTACACTAAGCCTTGTGACAGGGTGAAGTAGATTATGCTGTCTTTTGAATTACATGCTTGTTTTGAGTTGGTCTGATATTCTGACATACAATACAAGGAGTCAAAAGTGGATTGGTCTATAATGGACGCAAGCAACCTTGAGTGGTACCAATAAGGTTGCTATACTAAACTTGTGCTTATTGATACCTGAATTAAGTACCAATATACTTCTTTGTTGGCGCCTATCAGAAAATGCGCTTAATGAGTACCATTAGTTAAATTGATGCGCTTAATTGGTATTTGGTACCATTAATTTAATTTGGAACCAATAAAGAAGTGTATTGGTACTTAGTTTGGGTACTAATAAGCACAAATTTAGTACCAACAACATAGATTTAAAGTTGTTTCTGTCCAAAATAGTCACAAGGCACTTTTGATTTTGACAACCTCGCTCACATTTATCAGCTGTCTGAACCAGCCTAGCAAATGCAACTTATTACCATGAAATCCCATGATCAAGGGTCCCTTTCTATGGCTAATTGGCTAGGAATGGAGCATTTTCTTTCATTTAAACCTTCTCTTTCTTTTGAAACTCAACAAAGATCTATTTAGGATTGTCAGATATGGACCTGTGATCCCATGATCTATTCCTGAGCGTCAGACAGTTCGTGATTTCTTCCATTGCGATCTGACATCCAGACTTGGATTACTTAAAAAAAGGAAAAGATATTTTTATTGAAGGCAACATTTCAAATTGCATATACTGCTAATAATTTGTCAGTACACTCAAATGGCATTAACTATATTAGTAAAATGTCCAAGTCATCATAAGCAAAGCATTCTAATCTATCTTTACTTTGGGAATCTTTTGTGTCATTTTTTGGATCTTCTTCCACATCCACTTTCACGGCCCTTAGTAACCCCAACCATCTGTCAGACTCCATTAGGGTTGAGTCGTGTCTCTATATAAACCATCTTTCTTTACCCTTACTTGTAGGCTCTTTTTCTTAGGCATGATAGGGGTCTCAAAAACATTTTCTTGGGATTTTGGACCCAAGCACTTTTTTATTTGGAGGAGCCTTCTACCTCCAAGACGCTCTTTGTTACTCTTTGACTTCGTCGGAATATATGGTTCTGCGGTAGCTTCACTAGCTAGAGAACCCTTACAAACGGGCCACTCACTTTACTCTTTCCTTCTAGCATTAGTTTTGCTCTTCTCATTACGGGCATTCATCCACATTTATAAATGTTGGACAGTGTGCCGATTCAAGCACAATGTTAAAAGATGACATTGGCCTCAGTCCAATACTCTTCGAAATATATGGCATTGTCCAAGGAGAAAGCAACGTCACATGGCCATATAACATCTTGCCTTGGAATAATATGCGCGTAAAGCCATATTGCCTCATGTCGCTAGAAGGAATATAAAAGGAAATCTAGTCAAGTTAGGCATACAAACATAAGGAGTTTCATTTATTTTTGTCAATCCTGCCTATAATCTTTCTTCAAGCTCCTTTGACTTGGAAAAGTTGCCTCCAATCGTCATTTGATCTAGCTGGAAAGCACCTCTTTCTCCTTTCATGGCTGTCTTGTAATAAACCTTCCTGTGCCTTTTCTTTTTATTTGTTTTGGGGATTTGGTGTAATTAGTTTTAAATTTCCTGTTCGTTGAAGCTTTCCCCAACTGGGTGAAAAAAGGTAAATGAGTGCCAAAAAAAAAAAAAAAAACACTTGGGTACACATACTTGCAGGTGTTCTGTGTTCATTTAACTCGCAGGTGTACCCAGACACCACACTGTTAAAGTTTTCACTATTTTGCTCCTCACCCCCCAAATCAACTCACCCACTCACAAACACATCGAACTTAATGTGTCTGAGTATAGACTTCTAGCTACTAGTTACTTTACGAAGGACTTGCTTCATAAGCCATGAAGAGTGAAAAATATAGAGTTTGTCTTGTTTAAATCAACAAATAATCTGCAGTATTGACTTGTGACTAGTGTTCTTGCTGTAAATCTAATAGACTTCATATGCTGAATATAGCAATTGAGCTTTGCTTTGGTTCCAAGTTCTTTGTAAAGGTGGCTTGTACGACATAAACCTACATGTTTGTGGTTATGCTCAGGGTGAGATTGTTAGTTTAGCATGAGCTGAACTTTCTGGAAGTTCAAGGGGCTGATAACTGTGATAAGTGACCAATACTATTCATTGGAAACAAGGCATTGCCAAAGTCATGAGATGTAGAGTCTTGGTCCTCCGTTAGTTAAATATACAGTCCTTGATAGTGAGAGATAAGGAGGGTTTTAAATGTGACAAAGAACAAGTTTGTTAGCAAAACAATCTTACAGTACATTTTTGGGAGGCAACTTCTGCTTTTGTTTTTATTGTTGCAAGGTCAGAAATAAAATTGCTATGGTTAAGCATCCACTGTTTTCACTAAAGATTGTCACCGTATCTGGTACACTGAAATGTCTTATTACTATTATTCTCATCGCACTTAGATAACCAGTGGCAAGTTGCTTATTATTGCAGACACAGCATAAGATTGAAATGGACAAGCGAGATGGCAAGTTTGGGCCTCAGCCGATGGCAGTGCCCCCAGTTCAGCAGATGTCTCGGATTGACCAGCCGTATCCTCCCACTGTTGGATATCCATCTCAACCTCAGGGATATCCACCTCAGCCTCAAGGATATCCACCCCAAGGATATCCTCCTCAAGCTCATGGATATCCACCTCAACCTCAAGGATATCCTGCTCCAGGCTACCCACCAGCAGGTTCTGCTTATCCTCCTCAAGGCTACCCACCCGCTGGCTATCCCAAGTGATCCTCTTCTTGCTAGTTGAAGAGGTCTAAAATATTTGATTCATTGAGTCGAGCTATGTGTAATATACATAGATTTTACCCTTAATTATTCTTGATGTGTCTAGACTTGATTGACAAGTCGACAACTCTCAAACTAGTCTAAGATACAATATGTCTATCTTTTTTTTTTCTTCTTTTTTTTTTTGGGGTCTGAGTGTTCGTAAATTGTAATCTGCACAATGCTATTATTGGAAAATTCCAGTTGAAGAGTTCTTAAAGACTATTTGCTTTGGGTTTTGACATATTATTACCCCTTGTTCCTTCATTCTTCAGGTTGTCCTCTTATTGTCACAACCACTTTGCATTGCCTTAATGCCATAGAAAAGTGGAAGCACAACCTTCATAAAATTTGGAGAAAGCAAAATTAAAGCAATACGGAGTATATCAACGTGTCCATAAAAAAAAAACATTTGTTTTGGTGGAAATGATTTTTCTTTCACTTCATATTTCTTTTCTTTTTTTTTTTTTGTTAAAGGATAGAAAAACAATTTTTTTCATAGGTAAAAATGTTATTTTTAAAAGGAAACCATAACCTCATATAAAGAAGGTATGTTACTCTTTCCTCTTTACTCAACACTTCTCCTTTTACTCACCTTTATGTGTCTTTTCCATTTTACTTCCAATATTCTTTTTCTCCGCTATGTTTTGGAAAATTTACAAATTGCAGCCATTTAAAGTTCGTATTTTGCAAATTGCAGCCATTTAATTTTTTTTTTTGCAAATTGCAGCCCAAAAGTTCGTATAAATTGTAAATTGCAGCCTGATTCAATTTTTTCATCGGTTTACATGTTAAAAAATCTCCGGCTAAGGTTTTAGGGGTTATTAAGGGCCCGAATTGAGCTCGGAATTAGCAAAAAAATAACTTAAGTGTCTCATATTTACAGTTTCCCACAAATCGATACATTTTCGTTACGCAAAACGAGATACTTGCTTTATTTTTTTGCTAATTACGTAAAAAGGTTTTTCATTTGATTATAAGAAAACTCAAGTCTCACCTTATATTTTTGACACGTTTTCTTTTCTCATCATAAGTTTTCTTATAATCAAATGAAAACCCTTTTCACAATCATGTTTTCCATTGAAAATTATATACGTAAAGAAGAAAATAGTTTTCTATGACAAAGCCTTAGAAAATGTTAAACCTCGATCATACAAAGAAATTGTTAAAAATGAATGTGACCTACTGAGTACGTAGTGACCTTGATGAGAGCTTCCCATACATGAAAGCTAACTAATTAAACTCGTTATACAACAAAAATCTTTGCTGGAAAGCTACAACTTTGTTCAGTTGTTCACACTCGTATCCATTGAAAACAAAATCATTCAATAACAATCTTAAAAAGCTAACAATCTATGCTTTATACTTTTAGAGTAATTTCATTGTCATCACCTGAATTTCACAATAACAAGTTATAAGAGGCTTCTTCGCAGCGTCGTATGTTGTTGAGTGAAAGAGAGTATTATATTGCGCATGTACGGGTACGGCTGCACAACATCCCCGAAGCAACGCATAGGACGGTGCCAATTATTGACGCCAGTTAGTTAAACTTTTGATATTACGCGTTACAATCATCAATCATCTGTTATTAGTAACTGGAATTTCCGTACTTTTTGACTAATTGTACGCTTAATGATTCATTAAACAATTCCGGTCGTGCTTCGAGTTGATTTTTAATAGTTTTCGTGTTCGTGCCAACTATATATCTCGTTGATCAAATCTTTTTGCCAGTTTGTTGGTTACATTATCTCATCTCAACAATCAACATTACAAGTCTTGGTGTTAACTTAAATTAGCTAAATTGTCGATACGCATCGATTGTCTTTACCTTTTATATACTCCTTCAATATGATCCTTCTTGTACATTTTTTTTTTTTGGAAATTTAAAGCACACATTCAGCGCCCATCTTATATACTATGTGTATACGAATTACAATTTTGACAAAATAAGATTAGATAAAAGAAAAAAAAAATGAGGAAAATACAAATTAATCTGCCGATAAACGAATTTTTGTTAATCTAATGACATTTTTGTAAATATATGGGAAAAGCAGGGTCATTTATTCAATACTTTTGGTGAGCTGTCCAAAAACTATTTGCAACTTACTTTTACTATTTGGTGAGGAAATTACACATATACCCCTCAACTAGTACATGAAAAGACGCATATACCCCTCCACTGATACTTGAAAAGACAATTATACCCCCAGATACTTATTTTATTTTTATTTTTTTAATATGAGTAGAAAAATTCAGACATGATTTCCATATTTTTTATCCATGTTTTCATATTAATATCCATTTTTTTTAATTTTACAATGTTGATAATTAAAGATATTAATATGAGTAGAAAAATTCAGACATGATCTCACATGAATATATATGCTTTATCGTATCTATAAACAAACCAGTCAAAGCGTGTTGTGCGAATAGTGTTACAGTCAAACTGTGTCAACTAAAAAAACGAAGGAAGTATATGTTTAAATAATATAATTTAATAATATAATTTTGACCAAAAAAGAAAAAAACCAAGTAGAGTTTAAGCTCAAAATTTTAATTTTAATTTAAGCCAAAGTAAAATTGGTAACGTTGGTTATAGATAAAGCGTGGGTACAAAATTATTTCCATAATGCGTGCAAGTCATATAAAATAATTGAGATTTTTACTATTAGTTCATTTAGTTGACACTAATTGGATCCATAACTAAGTAGACAAGTAGTGATCACAATGTAGGGGTTATATTTAGTCATTTGGTTGACTTATTAGTTGTACTTAATGAAATTATGAAACGTCCGTAACTACTTGAATCAGCTTAATTATTAAAAACAAGAGAGTCAACCGTTAAGCCGATTCTATTTTCATATTATATGTAGTTGATTCCTTAATTAAATTAAATTATCTCTTAACTCGAAGTTTTTTAGTAGGAATTTTGCGGATACCTATTTCAATCTTTATTAGTTTTGAACAACTTTTAAGTGGAAAAATGTAGCCATGTAAATGAGGTAAAATTGGGTAAATTTTATACAATATAGGATGTTAAACGCCCTTTGAATGTAAATGAGACTTTTATTTTTTAACATTTGAGGAATAATGTTAAATCGATTTTATGATGTGACATTATGTAATTTAATTCAATGAAAAATACATGATGTCACGTTACGCATAATTCTATTACTTTATTACATTAAAGATTATTTTCATTATCATAACCTCTGTATAGATAAATTAACAATCAGAGAATAGACGTATATCATTTTATTATATGTAGTCATTAATGTTACTTGATATGATAAATTACATATCGTGATATCATTCATATATATTCTTACTTACAATACAAACAACAAAGAATATGGGCTCTGTTTAAATAGCACGCAATTACTAGAAAGAAGAAGAGCATGACATATGTAATAAAATGAGGTGGTACGTACATACTTCCACCACTAATTGAATAATTTTTGGTACGTTTCATTTAATAACATTTAGGGCCCCATTCAAACTCAAATGTTTAGTGATCACACATTCACATAAACACATGACACATGCATGGATAATAATTAACGTGGTGAAGAAGGATGTAAGGATATATAAATAATGGTTCATCATTCATTCATTCATTCGTACTATATATCTAGTGAAGATGCTTGAATTCAAGGTAAAAATTGAAGGAGTTTCCCAAGTTTATTTATAAAAGGAAGCTAAGCTAAGGTAGTGGTCATTATTGAAGGAAGTGGATGCAATGGATTTATCAGGGTAATTTAACATATTTTCACGGGAAATAATTACTTTCAATTAGTTAAAGTAATAAATTGGAAGGGGGTAGTTTGTTACCTCCATTATTGAAGGTGACAAATTTCATCATTATATGTTCGTCCTTAATGTCACTATAATCTTCGGCCATCTTCATCATCGTCCTTGATCTTTATCTTTTCTTATTAGAACGGTATCTCCTTAAATATATAGTTTTACCCATAAGGTTCCTAACTCGTGACTTTATAAGGTTTGAGAGGCAAACATATAGTATTACTTTACCACCTTCTTTGTTTACATAGTATATTCAACATTTTAGTTTATTTTAATTATTTTATTGTGGAAGATACGCATACCATAAATTCCCTTTGGGTTAGGGAATTGTCGAAATTGCTTAAATCTTGATTGTGAAAAAAGTAAATCCATTAAAAATAGGTAAAGTGGTAAAAAAAAATAAACGTAATTTAAAATAAAGTAAAGTGATGAGAACTTCTAAAAAAATATTCCAAAGGATTCGTATACCACAAGGTAAAATTCAAGTATAGAAACTTGACGATATCATGCAAAATCTCAACGCATACGCATTGCAGTGGAAGGTTCAGCATTGTGCTAAATCAACAACACTTCCAGCTATAGTCCTGTAATAATACATACTAATCATACTTTCTTTTAAAGACACGCATGCAATAATACAGTGTCTATAATTCTAATTTCTGAATTAAAGATCTTAACTTTATTCAATTGATTATGTTAAAAGTATACAAATCTTTGTCTTTTTATAGAAACTTTTTAGTTGCAAGAATAATACTTTATAAGATGGATGGGGTGTGAAACTTCTCTCCAAGACAAGGGAAGAAGTTTCATATCACTAAGTGTTTTTTTTATTAAAAAAAAATTAATAATTATTGAATTAATATTATCACGATGGTAAGTTATTATAATTATCATTGAATTTTTTTACTAAAATGATTTGATTTTGAATCAGCTTTGACATTAGTTGTGTACAATACTACTCTGTAATAATTAGTTTTGATTATAGGTGGCGGCAGATGGATAGTTTAAATTGATTTTGATTTGGACTATATTCAATTGACATGTTTTATTTTTTTAATTTTAGTCTTGTTTATCAAATGACATTTGGATTCTTAGTTTGTCAATTAGTCTCTCATGATCGATGATTAATCATTATCATTATCAACGTCACTAAATTATAAATCATGAAAACTTGGTCAATCTTGATAGCCTTATCAATTTGAATCATGTAATTTTTATTTTTTTTGGACAATGTGAATCATGTAATTAATTTCATATTAGTGTTAGAAAATTAATTTATAGCAATATTACAACTCAAATTTTCCCTTATAAAACATACAAGGTACTTCAAAGTCCTCTTTCCTTAGTGTTGGCAAAACAATTAAATTCATAATTACCTAAATAATTGGGTAATGCATACAAATATTTAATATACTTTCGTTTTTAGTACTCAGTTCTCCATATTAAATTGGGAATTTATCGACAATTCACGAGTAAATCGATGTAATAAATGTTTATTTATTGTCTATTTTTTTTTCCACTTTTAACTTCTTATTATATGCTATATATCTTTTTCCTAAATAATTTATTGCAAGCAATGTAATACTATAAAAATAACTAAGGGTATGTTCTCTTCAGCTTAATTACAATTCAGTTCAGTTCCTAATATCATTCTCTCATAAACAATTCATTTCAATTCAGTTCAGCGCCAAACAGTTCAGTTTAGTTCAGCTCCAATCAATTCAGTTTAGTTCAGTTGTTTTCTGTTAATCAAAACAGACCCTTAGTGGTATTTTATCCTTAACTCCGCTTAAAATAGTGCATACAACCTATAGAAGCTCTTCCTATCCAATTTCCCCCTTAATTCAATCTCTCCTACTCAGCTTACACTATCTTAATGGCTTAAACTAATACTCTTAAGTCTCTAATGGTAGCACTTTAAGACAATTGTCCCCATCACTATATAATTTAAGATCCAATTATCCAATAAGTGAATCCACAAAAAAGAAATCGTACTTCTCCAAATAACAGCCACCATAAGTGACCACTCACTTATTATATTTCTACTCTTAGATTAATCAAATATGATGATTTTGATGGGCAAACTAAATTCCATAATATGTTGTATTGATGCAAATAATATACCTAAACATATGTCAATAGACAATAGTACGTTGTCATATCATATAATATTTGCCCTCATTCTCACATCTAAATGTGCCAATGAATCTACCCAATGTGCCAAAACATCTTGTCATTTCCTTTGCCACTAACCACACAACAATGAACAAAAAATTAAAGCAAATTTGTCCCCCACTAATTTTCACCCAATTACCTTTCTCAAATTGACAATCATTACCCTCTAAAAATTTCACAATTAAATGGTACGGAGTAAAAAACAACAAAAACTAACTCATACAAGATTACATGAAATTATTTCCATTTTTTTTCTTCCTTTCCATTGTAAGTATTCAGTAATATGTACATATCTCATAGGACTGAACTCAGCTCAAGTCTCTGATGCGGATATCAACTAACTTAGCTCGATAGGTCTCGGATCCACAACCCGAGACCTATGATTTAAGAAAAAATAAACTAATCTAAAAATTCGGCCCAAAAATTAATAAGCCAATAGAAGAAAGAAAGTGCTATTTACTCTCATTTTTTTTCTTTTTCTTACCAACTATCAAAACTACAAGAAATTAGTGATAGGAGAATATTCAGAGTAAAAATCAGGAATGCCAGAAGCAGCCCAGAGTTTCTCGTTAAAGTCTTCTTGTAATTCATCAGGGACAAATGGCATCCTACAAAGCGGACACGTCTTCCGATCGTGATCGATCCAACGGTCCACGCAGCACCGGTGGAACATATGCCGGCAATTCCTCATCCGTCGGATCTCGTCCTCCTCCTCGAACTCGTACAGGCACACCGCGCAGCTCTCCGACGGGCCGGGCTCGTCGGGCCCGGCGGCGGAGAGGACCTCGGCGTAGGTGACGGCGGGGAGCATCTCCCGGATGAGGGCGCCGGCGGAGGAGATAGGCTGGACCGGGCCGGGCTCGGGCTGGTCGAAGTCGTTGGCGGGCTCGACGAGGGAGGAGAGGCCCATGAGGCGGAGGAAGGAGAGGATGAGGTTGCGGAGGAAGCCGAGGAACGAGAGTGTTGTGAGGAGGAGCTTGGGGAGGAGGACCTCCGTATAGCCCGCCGGAAAGCCCATGTGTGTGTAGGGTGGTGATTTTGTAGAGAGAGAAAGAGGGAGAAGTAAGAGAGAGAAAGTGAAAGGATAGTGAAGATGAGGAGGGAGAAGATGAGGTATGATGTGAATTATTTATATAGGGAGATGGTGATGGGATGGGGATAGTGGAATTTTGAGAGTGTATAAAGGTGTAATTTTTTATATTTAAAATTAATTAATTAATTAATTTTTTGTTAGGAATTTTTTTCTTTCTTGTGACAAGGTCACTATGATTAATTAATTTAGAGTCAGCATCTACATTTATATAAATCATATATTCCTATCATAATACATTAATACTACACTAAGTTACTAACATAAAAGTAACATACTAACATGTACAAGGTACACTTTTGATAAGTTATACGCGTATTAATTTGTAGAATGGAATATAATTTTCTTATATATCGTAAAATTATATTTTCAAATATTTATTTAAAAACGATTTTATTATGAAAAAAATTCTCAAATTCAAGTGGGGTTCAAGACATGTAACATCATCATCGTTGTATTGATATTTTGATTGTTATTTTAATGTCTAATAAATCCTTACTAAACTGAATTGGAGTCGAATTATGCCCTACAACGTTATACAGTACAAATGTGCGTCATTACCATAAAGTGCCATCTTTTTGGTATTAGACTCGGTGTTTCATGATTTGTTGTATTTGATAGAACTGGATTTGTTATAATTTATTGAAGCATAGAATTCTAATTAAATTTTCTTTAGTTGATTTTTTCATTTTTTTAGTTATTCAGCATATTCATTTAAAGGTCAAATAAATCACATAAAAAATCAACTCAAACTAGCCACATTAAACCATCTATCATTAAACATCAAGTACTCACACATTTTACTGCACACTTTCTATGTTTACGCAAAAGTTTTTTCACCTTAGCACAACTTTGGATAATCTAATATTTATAGCATCTTGCTAAATACCGTTAAATTATATTAAAAACTCAAACTTGCACGTAACGTAATTATATATATGGTGTGCCTTTTCTTACACTCTGGATCATATCTATATCCAACATTAGTCATGTACATCATACATAATCAATATCTAGTTAGTAAAGTAGTAAATGCCTCGCTCCAATTCATGCACAAAGATAATTAATGTCAAATATTTTTTTTTTTTTTTTTTTTTTTTTGAGAACAGATAATTAATGTCAAATATATGTAGTAGCCTAGTAGGTTTTAATTATACAAGTACACCTATCTTACAACCTCTTAAAATAAGAACGTTTATTTAGAAAAGTTTAGCAAAAATAGACATAAGTCTAAATATAATGAGTAGTTCCATATAAACCATTTTTCTTAAAATACCATTGATTTAAACAAATTTCATTTTTTCCCACTTAAAATATAAAAGTTAAAGGGTTCCCTAAGAAGAAAAATAGTCTCTTTATTAGAAGTCATGAGAATTGAGGATTGTTGTTTCCCCACGGCATCCAAGTTGTGTGACATTTTAATGATGAGTTATAAACAATCAATCAAACAACTTTTAGAAAGATAGCCAATCTTATGAAGTGGGAGCAAAAATTAAGGCCATACCCTAATAGTGGGGGACTCTATATATGCCACAATTATCACTGTTTCCATCTTGATGGGGCTAGTTTGCAAGCACTACCATTTCAGATGCCCCTTTCCCATTTGCTTTTGTTGTTTTCTTTTCCTCTAACCTTTACTAGGACGAACTTGACAAAAACTTTCGTAACAATAACAATTTGTCTAATACGTATGTCTATGATTGTATATTTAAAAAGAGAAATGATATAAAACCTTAAAATAGAATCAGACTAAGGGCCTGTTCTGAATGACTGAACTGAACTGAACTGAGCTGAACTGAACTGAACTGAACTTATTAATTAGTGATTTCTAACTACGGATTAGTGATCTTTGATTATTTATTACTATACATATGTGTATATACAAATGTACATATTATTATTAATAATATTATTATAATTATTATTATTATTATTAATTTTGATTATTATTATTATTTATTGATTATTATTATTATTATTATTATTGTTGTTGTTGTTGTTGTTGTTATTATTATTATTGTTGTTATTATTATTATTATTATTATTATTATTATTATTATTATTTATTAATGATTATTATTATTATTTATTGATTATTATTATTATTATTATTATTGTTAATATTATTATTATTGTTGTTGTTGTTGTTGTTGTTGTGTTGTTGTTGTTGTTGTCGTCGTCGTCGTTGTAATAAGAGCTTAAAAGAATGAAATTTGGCTTTATATCATTAGCAATATCATTAGACGTAAATTAAGAGCTGAACTCAACTGAACTGAGCTGAACTAAACTGAACTGAGCTGAACTGAACTGAGCTGAACTGAACTGAGCTAAACTAAACTAAACTTCAACGGAAGAGAACATACCCTAATTGGAGATAAAGAAAATGCATTCAAATTCAAAATTTTCCTTTTGTTACACCATTTATATGTGAATTTTATATTTTACAATCTATTGGAGATACAATTGATATGTACTTTTTATCTTAACAAGTGCTCATTAAAGGTTGTTGATTAATTTCTAGGTAGGATACCCTAGTGGTGGGGGTTCAAATTAAACCTCATTGGGGCAAGAGGCCGAGGGTAATTGTGGTGGGTTGGACTATATATCAAGGTATGTTCAAATTACCTTGTAATTGACCTAATTAATTAAATAAAGTAAAATAAAAGAATGTATTTTTGGACGCATACTAGACAAACCAAATTAATGTTTGGTGGCCTTAGACGCAAAAAAAAAAAAAAAAAAAAAAAAAAAAAAAAAAAAAAAAAAATTGTTTGTGAATCTTGTTGTTTTTTATCAAATGTTCTTTAGTTTGTTTATCATGGATTACTTCAGTATTTCATTTATTATTATTATTATTATTATTATTATTATTATTATTATTATTATTTGGGGGAAATTTCATTTATTATATGATTACATACATATTCATTAAAAAAAATCCTAGATAATAATTTCAACATAAATTGACTATTTTTAGTTGCTAAGCTACTATATATTCGTATCTTTCTTCAACCACGCACTAATACATAATCATTTACATATCTTACTTTTATTTAGCCAAAAAGGGAAATCATGTTATAATTGGAAGTGTATTAGATAAGTAAAAATAAAAAATAAAAAAGAGTACCTATAGAAAAAAAAATTCAATTAATTTATTATCTTTAAACTAACATGTTTTTCATACAAATACAAATTAATAATTGAAGATACACGCTCGAGCTTACTTTCTGTGTTGATCACAAAGCAAAGAGTAAAAATTATTCACAATTGCTAAAAGTGCTAATGTTAATATAAGTGATGGAAACTTAAATTGGGCTATGAATATTTTAGCGATTATAGAAGAGAAAACTATACAAAATCTATGATTCACAAAAAGATACTAGTACGTAGTAGTATATATAAATGAATCAGAATACAATATGCTGATATATATGTCAATGATTGCTTTCGATATGACAATGACATAAATCATATGATATCTCTAATAAGACATTACTTAGAATTGGCTTATACGAAGTATTAATTTAGTATAACTCTTCAATAAATTGTTACGAAAAAAAAAAATAGTAAAAAGGTATGAAGTTTTAGTGTATGACTTACAAAGCTACATAATACTGTACTTGATAAGGAAAGCTATGTCGTCTCCAGTAATAATTAGTCGAAGAATAGGGAAATTAAATAATTTATAAAATTAAAATTATCAACTTACAAAAACCAATGCTCTCACGAAGTAATAATAAAAAAATAAAAAAGGATGGAGGACCACTATAGAATTCCTACTAGCTAACATAGAGACAATAGGAGGTGCTTGCTTGACATACAAATTTCATGCAGAGATCTTCCTCAAAAAAAAAAAAAAAATTAAAAAAAAAAAATAAATAAATAAAATCTCATTTGTTTTTAAAAAATTACTACGTAAATTATATTCCTTCCATCTCATAATATAGTTCTCAACATCTTTAATTGCTTATTAACAAACACTATATACGGAGTATGGTTTAATAGAATTAAACATTGAGATGAATTTAAAAATATCTCACGTGATTATGTTATTTTTGCTAGACAAGTTTAAAATCTATTCTTTGATTAGTTTTACTTATGTCTACATTTATTTCTCTTCTCTACAATATACTACATATTTAGGGCATGTTCTGATTGATTGAACTCAGCTGAACTGAACTTATTAATTAGTGATTTTTAACTACGGATTAGTGATCTTTGATTATTTATTGATTATTTATTACTATACATATGTGTATATACAAATGTACATATTAAAATATTTACGAAAAATATACTATATAATTATAAAATTTATGGAAAATATATTAAAAACTTGAAACCTCTAAACATTTTAAACACATATACTATTTAATTAATTTAAAAATAAAATAGTATTATGGCAAAAGAACACAAAGCACTTACATGTATCTAACCCATTTAAACAAATTTTTTTAAAAAAATATTTTTAAAAAAAAAGAAAAAGAAAAAAACACGAAAAGCTAACAGAGGCAACGACCCAACAGTCCAAAACCCTAACCCACTCTCTTTAATGTTTTAATTAATACATGTATCTAACTAGTATCTTACCCCAAATTATTATTATTATTATTATTATTATTATTATTATTATTATTATTATATTATTATTATTATTATTATTATTTATTGATGATTATTATTATTATTATTATTATTTATTACTTATTGATTATTATTATTATTATTATTATTATTATTGTTGTTGTTGTTGTTGTTGTTGTTGTTGTCGTCGTCGTCGTTGTAATAAGAGCTTAAAAGAAGGAAATTTGGTTTTATATCATTAGCAATATCATTAGACATAAATTAAGAGCTGAAGTGAGCTGAACTGAGCTGAACTGAACTGAGCTGAACTGAACTGAACTGAACTGAATTCCAACGGAAGATAACAAGCCCTTAGTAGTCTGTTAATTAAATTAGTCCTTTTTACCTTTAATTATAATTTAGATGATTACCTTGAGGCTTGAGCAAGGATGAATAGAAGGTGTAAATACTTGTATTAAAAAAGGATAGTTATGATATTTTTAATTAAAGTGAATGTCAACTAG